GGGGCCGTGTGCGCGCGCGCCCCCCCCGCCCCCGCCACAGACAAGGCACGGCGCACACACGTGGCGCTGTGGGTTGTCCCCACAGAACATGGTCTGCCACAGGACGGGAAGGGGCTGCACTGCTGGCAGGATCACGGTGTGTGTGAGTGGGGAGAAGCAAGGCCCTAACTATCACATATGAGAGAGTGCACACAAGTACCATGTATGACAACATATATGGCCGTGGCCTTTCCCAATTTTACTGGTGGAGATTCCCCAGAGTGCATATGTCAGCATGCCAGGCCCATGTAAATGTCTTGTGTATTTGCATGTTAGATCAGTTCTGTCTCCTATTCCCCTATTTTTAGCTATCACAAGTTGACAAGAGGAATATGTCTTTATGAAAAATATTTTGCTCTTGACAGCAGCTCTGATCCCTCCAATCATTCAAAAGTGCTCCATGTTATTGATGTTAACTACTACATTGGTAACATGCCCACCTCATCATTATGTTTTGGCTGTTGGCACACTGCAAAATGTAAGTTTCATTTGGAAATCTGTGCACATGGCATAATGGGTTGGAGCAACATAGCCCAGGCAGCAAGTGGGGAGGAGAACAAGTTGTGGCAAGCTTGCAGGAGATGAGATTTGGTTTGCAAAGAAGCAGGAAAAGATCCCTAGTGCAGCAGGATATAGCTTCACTCCTGAAATAAAGGAAATTCTGGAATGGAGGGTAGCAGCATGCCAGAAGATGACAGATGGCACAATCCATAACAGGAATGTATAATATTCAAATAATCATGTTAGATCCTTTAAAAAATCATACAATTGTTTTAAATTAATGAGCTTTTTAAAAACTGGTGTTTGTTTTATTTGTCTTTTGATTTGTAAGCGTTGCAGGTACATTCTTGTAACGTTCATTTTTTTAAAAAATGAGGAATCTAAAGGTACTTAAACATATTAAAGCTGAGCTTCCCATGTAATCTCTTTAATCCAGAAACTGCAGCTTTAAGAAGAACACCAAACATAATGGCTGTGTCTAGACTGGCCAGTTTTTCCGGAAAATCAGCCGCTTTTCTGGAAAAACTTGCCAGCTGTCTACAGTGGCCGCTTGAATTTCCGCAAAAGCACTGCCTTCCTACTGTAAGAAATCAGTGCTTCTTGCGGAAATACTATTCTGCTCCCGTTCGGGCAAAAGTCCCTTTTGCGCAAAGCTTTTGCGCAAAAGGGCCAGTGTAGACAGCTCAGATTTGTTTTCCACAAAAAAGCCCCAATCGCGAAAATGGCAATCGGGGCTTTTTTGTGAAAAAGCGCATCTAGATTGGCACAGATGCTTTTCCGCACAAAGTGCTTTTGCGGAAAAGCGTCCATGCCAATCTATACGCTCTTTTCCGAAAATGCTTTTAACGGAAAACTTTTCCGTTAAAAGCATTTCTGGAAAATCATGCCAATCTAGACGCAGCCCATGAGACTCATGATAAAATCATTCAAGGTGGCAAAACAAGGTATAGTGCAGGAAGTATTTTGGTAAGGGACTTGGTACAATACTGTAATGAAAAAGCTAGTATAAGGATGGATCACTGCCTGCTGCTGCTTGATGCTCTTGAAACTGCTGAACTGTGTAACTAGCTATGTCCTACAACTTCTAGAGCTACAAATTTTTCTGCCTACAGAGTAGAAGTAGTTGAGGGTTTTGCCAATGCTGCTGTGCATTTGAGTAATTTAGTATGAAGTGTAGTGAAATGGAGGTTAATAGCATCATTACACTGATGGCAGATGAAGGATCTGAGTGCCCCAATTTTGCTTTATTATTTCTTTTTGCTATATGGAAAGTTTAATGCTGATAAGTATGTTCAGAAATGTGCAAAATATTAATGTGTCTGATTAGTACTCCTTAGTCATAATTTTTGATTGGTGCCACCCAAGAGACTGTTAAAAAACTGAATATAAATAGTTTCACAATTTTAAAAATTTTTTCAATGAAAATAGAAATTAAATTTAAAAATTCATCCATAGTTTTTTAATCATAACATCACAGAGTTGTATTAAGGCATAGGAACCTAACAGTGAAACCGATTGCTCACGAGACTGAAACTGACCAATTTAGTTTAGTGAAATGCAAAATATAAATAACTCATCTTGTGAAAAGTAAATTAGATTACTAAAGTTCTATCTGTTTTGCACTCTTATACTGCAATGAGCTTCACAGAGGACTGGAATGTGAGTAATTGAAGGTGGTGTTAATAACATTGATGAAAAAATTAGATATATGACTGTATACTGTCCTTTTAACACATAGGCTGTGTCTAGACTGGCCAGTTTTTCCGGAAAATCAGCCGCTTTTCTGGAAAGCCAGCTGTCTACACTGGCCGCTTGAATTTCTGCAAAAGCACTGACTTCCTACTGTAAGAAATCAGTGCTTTTTGCGGAAATACTATGCTGCTCCCGTTCGGGCAAAAGTCCTTTTGCGCAAAAGGGCCAGTGTAGACAGCTCGTATTTGTTTTGCCCAAAAAAGCCCCAATCGCGAAAATGGCGATCAGGGCTTTTTTGAGGAAAAGCGCATCTAGATTGGCACGGATGCTTTTCTGCAAAAAGTGCTTTTGCGGAAAAGCATCTGTGCCAATCTAGATGCTCTTTTTCGAAAATGCTTTTAATGGAAAACTTTTCCGTTAAAAGCATTACCAGAAAATCATGCCAGTCCAGACGTAGACATACTGTATATTGGGGTGGGGAGGAAGGCCTTTCAAGTTCCCTTGCATACTCTATATAAATTCTGCAATAGCCTTGTTAAAGTGAAATTAATAACCTGCTTTAATACACACATTGAAACAATGGAACCCTGTGCCCCTGCCCTTGGTCTACACTAGGGGATAAATTTGAATTAAGATATGTAACTTCAGTTATGTTAACCGCATAGCTTAAATCAAAGTATTTTAAGTCAAATTTTTGCACGGTCTACACTGCAGGAAGTTGAAAGGAGCACACTTTCCCTTCGACTTCCCTTACTCCTCGTAGAAGCAGGACTACCACCATTGATGGGGCGTGCCTCTCTCAGATCAAATTAGTGTGTCTTCACTAGACCTGCTAATTTGAACCCTGGAAGATCGTGGCTGCTTCGATTTTATCTATCATGTAGACCATGGCCTTGAAGAGTCCTAAATATAGGTGTAAGGTGCAGCCTGTCAGGTGATGTGGTGTTTTTGTCTTTTGTCATTTTCAGAAGACCCATTGGGAGGCAAGTGGCTGTCTGAGCCCTCTGAGAGTACTAGAAGAGGAGAGGCACCAGGCTCAATTTGGAGTAGTGGCCACTTTGGAGTCTCTGAATAACTTGGACGGGGAGCAGAAGTGAAGTAAGGCAAAGTGCCTCAGTGCGCTGCTCTCATAAGAATGGCGCTGGTGCAGCTGGGGAAGGTCTCCTGTAAGTGGAAGCATGGCATGTGCTCGCAGATGGGCTCCTGCCAGCTCCCAGAGCTCACACTGTCCTGAGAGTGGCTCCACTGTACCACACTAAGTAGAGGCACATGAAATGGGACAGTTGGGGGTGTGCTGCAGATGGAGGGATCTGTGCTTCCGGCTGGACTTCTGGTGGGGCATCCCCATCCCAGCCTGTACTAGGGTAGCATAGGATGTGCTGGCCCTGTGGCCTTTGGGGGGAAGGGAGCAGCAGGTCAGGTATCTATGTACCACTGCCACCCATTTACCTGCATGCAGTGGGTGCCCACACAGCCACAGCTCTCTTGGCAGGAACAGGAGCAGGGACCACCAGATAATCCGTGAGTGGGACTGCCACATCTCTGAGTCTCCATCCCCCCTTCCTCGCTCCAGATTTCCTCAGCCTCCAGCCCTGAGCCCCCTAGTCTCCAACCCTGACTTCTACATCCCTCACACTTCAACCCTCTGCCCTAAGCCCCCACACTCACACTTCAGGCTCCTGCCATGACACCCTCTTCCCCCCTCCTCAGCCTTCTGCTTCGACCACACTACACTTTTCTTACAGATACTGTCATATCGCAACCTCCCCCAACTTCCTGCCTGGAACGCCCCCTGCCCTGGTGGGTTGTGATAGGACTGTACCTGTAAGAAATTTAAGTTACTTTCTCCTCTGATGGGGAGGAGAGTCCCAATATTAGGCTTCTCTCTCTCTGAAAATGGTGAAAGACAAGTAGATGGGAAGTGAGTCTGAGGGGAGCAGAATGAATCTCTGGGGCCGCATAGGGGCCTAGGCACCCTCATCTGAACCCAAACTTCTGGAATCCTATCAAAAGTACCTCAAGCAGTGTCCATTCAGGGACTTGAATCCCTGTATCTTTTCCCCTTCAGATTTGATAGTTAATGCTCCTAGCGCTGTCCTAGGTAACTATAATCTGTCCCAAAACATCTGTGTAATTTTCAGCTGTATAATAATAAACAAGCCCATAGCAATGACGGACAGATTCCTGCAGTACATAGAGATACATTATGGGGAGTTTTTCTCCTGCCACTGTGGAGGAGGGGAAAAGCAGGGAGGGGGAAAAGGAGTCATTCTTATGTCTCCTAGCAACAAAAATGCTATCACCTTGACTACCAGTCTGAGAAGTGAAAGGCAGAGTGTCAGAGAAGTTCACTTGCTCTAAGAGCTGCAGCCAGGCAGGGAGGTGGTTAAGAAGGGCAGCAGCAGGTAGCAAATCTTCCCCTCCCCAATATACTGTACTATGATAGGAAGAAGCTTAGTGGGCCTTTGCTGGTCTGTCTTCTTCACACTTTGATGATTGTTCACTTTTTACAGCAATAAATGTGTGTGAAATCATTTACTTAAAACCACAAATTGGGGGCATTCAAAGAGGAGTGGGTGGGAGGCAGTGGGGAAGGGAAGAGAATGTGGGTTGGGAAAGAGAGGAAGGAACTTGGCATGGAAAAAAGCAGAGGACGGTCAGGAATGGGAACAATGGAAGCTAGAGAGTTTGGGGAAGGAGGTGGGTGGAAGAAAATTTGTGACAAGTGGAGGGGGATTGAAGATTTGATGAGGTGCAGGGAAAAAGTGAGCTTGAAGTGAGATAGAAAAGTGAGAGAGCTTGTGTAGAGAAGAGAAGATATTTTAGTGTGGGTGGCATGGGAGAGGAAGAGACCAGTGGAAGGAGTTTAAAAAGGGCTATTTCCTTTCTGCTGCTGGGGTGTGCAGAAGGCAGGCATCTATTATAACACTTTCTCTAGTATTCTGAATAGAAAGTCTGTTCTAAACCAGTTTCTCTAATTCTCTGTATGCAGGTAGCTAACGAGCTCATTTATTTTAAGAAAAAAATATTGACTTCATCTATACATTTTAAGAAATAGTTTTATCAAAGACAAAGTTTACAATGAAGCCAACACAGACTCCAAGGCTCCTCAGGGTAAGTGAGTGATTTATTGTTGGGGCTGTGAAGTATTTGCAATGAAATTTGAAAACCTTGATTACAGTTGTTAATTTATAATCAAGGATTCTTCAAGACCCTTACTGATGGTTTGCAGATCAGTGTTCAAAGAAACTACATGTGGTTAAATATTAATTTAGACACTAGGCTCTGTAAAGTATTCTGTCTGAAAAGGTAATACAGCTCAAGTGTGCTAACTTAACTTATAAATTTTGGGATGGCTTTTATAGCACATCAAGAGCTGCCTTAGCAGGAATACTGACTTTCCTACAAACTCCAGGAACTTTAAGGAAGAAGCACCTAATAAACTGTATTGTTTGTTTATTTTAAAAACAAACAAACCCCCAACAAATACTACAATCTTTAATCAAGTGAAATTCCTGATGACATCAATGGAGTTAACTTGATTAAGGACCATGGAATATGATGCCCAAACTGATTTATCGTGTATATTTGTGTTCTGAAGAATAGTCTACGGAGGTCATTCAGATTTCTTCTTTTATAAATCCCATTTATAAAATATAAATGGGTATAAAAAAAGAAGGAATTTAATTGCCTAAATACAGTTCGGGCTGTCTTCTTTGCTACAGTTGCATGGATCAAGAGTCAATAGCTTCTTGCTACACAAAATGTATCAAAGAAACATCCCATACAAATAATAATGCATTCTGGATGTATAATTACAACAGATAACACCTGCTCTTTACATGATGATTTAATGCACTAGCCTTCAAATACAGCGCACTTGAACATTGCATCTTTCTAGTATCTCTTACCCATCTGCTATAGTTGCTTTTATGGCTCTTTCAAAGCATATAGACTTGGAAGACTCCAAACAATAGTTGTTGAGTATGATAATATAGCTTTCTGTGATCCTTTAATATGCATCCTAGCTCTATATGGAATGTTACCTGTGTGTGTGTGTGTGTGTGTGTGTGAAAATATTAACAGTTCCATTTATTTAATTTCAAGATATGTTATAAATAACCATTGATGCTTGTATGTACTGTTGCAAATTAAGGTGCTGCCATTTTGAAATGCTGTGAGGAACCTGATGCTGGGCTCCCTGCGGTGTTTCAAAGCAGTGGAGGTCAGTGGGGGAGTCCCCAGCTGATCCCGGGCTCCACACAGTGCTGCCGTATAAAGCACCATGTGGTGCTGCCACTTTGAAGTATGCCTTTCTCTTCCCCTCCCCTTTCTGCCTATTTCTGATAGTGGCAGCAAAAAGGGGGGGGGGGGGGAAAAGGAAGCAACTAGTCGACTAACCTGATGACTATCTGATAAGCATTTTTTTTTATTGGATAGTGGACTAGTTGACAAGTCCTTCACATCCCTAATGTTATTATTATTTGGGAATAACGGCTGTTATTCCCGAATAATAGTGCAGTGTATACTCAACACACCCTTTCTATTGTCAGTAAGCACTGCGGGTGAAATCTTGGCATTACTAATGTCAATGGATGTTTTTCATTTGTCATCAGTAGAGCCAGGATTTCACCTTGTGTGTATGGGGTGGGCGACATGGACGGGGAATTGCACATTATTACTTTTTGGAGCAATGATAAGAACCATTGTTGAGCATGGTGTTTACAGGCTCTCTTGTCCTGCTTATTCCATGGATCCAGGTTATTCTGAATGGCAATGGTAGCTCTGCTCCCTTCTCATCCTGCTTCACTTTGGTGACTTTGAGCAGGATTTTCCTTTAAGTTTGTAATTTGTTATTAATGTTGTTATGCTGGGAAGTGTCATATCTAGAATTTCCATTTTCAGTATAAAAATGCACTTATAGTTTTAGGCATGTATATTTGGGCTGATGCCTCAGCATACACGCTCCACCAGTCTGTGCTGCTAGTGTCACTTTATGTAATTTCCTTGGGCATCTCCTGAACCCTACACACAAACAAGAAATTATAAGAGGGGAAAATGTATTGAGAAAGCTTTCTGGGATTCCCTGTGGAGTTATGTCAGCTCCTCAGCCTTTTGAGAGGGTAGCTGAGGACATAGTTCATAGAATAATAGAAGCAGAGAAGTTTAGGGTGATAAGAGACCTCAGGAAGTCATCTAGTCCAACCTCCTGCTCAAAGCAGAACCAACCTCAACTAAATTATTCCAGGCAAGGCTTTGTCAGGCATAGCCTTAAAAATCACTAAGGGTATGTCTACACTACAGCATTATTTCGAAATATGTTATTTCAAATAGTTAATTTGAAATAAGTTATTTTGAAATAACACGTCTACACACAAAATGCATTTCGAAATAGCATTTTGCTATTTTGAAAAAGTGTGTCCACACTGGGTGGATGCTCAATCGCATTTAAGGCCGGCTGGAACCAGGGCCGGCAGAGCATCAGGTCAGGAGTTACTTTGTGTGGTTGCTGCCTGAGGCTATCTGAGGCCTGAGGCCTATGCTTAAAGGAACCTCCCCCCCGACTTCAGTGAGGGACAGCAAAGCATTTTGTCTTTTCATGCTCTGGTTGCCATCACTCGGGACACCACAGCACTCTGCAGCATGGAGCTAGAGCTGCCCCTGGGCACTCTGGTACTTCTCTTGAACATGTTGCTGCAAGCCTGGCTGCACTTTCTGCAGGCTGCCATCCGGGAGGTCCATCAGGGGGCTGTCAGTATCCTGCGGGAGATGAGGGACAGCAAAGCATTTTGTCTTTTCATGCTCTGGTTGCCATCACTCGGGACACCACAGCACTCTGCAGCATGGAGCTAGAGCTGCCCCTGGGCACTCTGGTACTTCTCTTGAACATGTTGCTGCAAGCCTGGCTGCACTTTCTGCAGGCTGCCATCCGGGAGGTCCATCAGGGGGCTGTCAGTATCCTGCGGGAGAGCTTCCACCCTGAGGAGAAATAAGAGCTTCCCTGGTCTGCCCCACTGGGGGCTTGTGCCTCATTCCTCCCTCATGTCCTCATGTGCCTCATGTCCTCCCACTTACCCCTCCCTAACCCCCCTTCCTAATGTCAAATAAAATATATGTATTTTCATGAACACAAACTTCTTTATTTAACAAAACTGGGGGGAGGGGAATGAAACTCTGGTGATACTGGGGAAAGGAGGTGGGAGAGGGGAGACAAGAGGATGGGAGGGGGAAACCTGGGAGGAGGAAGCTGGAAGGGGGAAGAAGGGGGAGGGAAAACTCAGGGCTCAGGGTTGGGAGTCTTGCCGGACCAACTTGATTTTCATGCAAACCTGCTCCTGGGTTTGCATGTGGCCTTTGGTGGCCTGGCTGGCAGCTATCCTGCCGTAGACGGCCGTGTTCCTCCATCTAATTCCCCCGAACCTGAATAAGGTTCATGATCTCCACCCTGGATCAGGAAGGTGCTAGCTTTCTCCAGGCCCTGGCAGGCTCCTGGGAGCTGGCAGACTGCTCCTGGGGAGTGGTAGAGGGCTGGCTGCCAGTGGCTTGCTGGCTCATGTTTTGGGGCCATGGGGTCAGGGACAATGACTGCTGGCTCTGGGCTGGCAGGCTTGGAGCTGGCACAGGCACTGTGTCCAGAGTCTACCCCTTTAAGGGCTCTGGGGATGGGGGAGGGAGTGGAGTGTTCTTGGTGGGGGCTAGAGTGGCCACCAGGGCACCCTGGGAAGGCTGGAGGCACCCTATTTCGATATAAGTGTCTACACAGCACTTATTTCGAAATAGCTATTTCTAATTTGATGTTATTCCTCATGGAATAAGGTTTACCAAATTTGAAATAAGCAATTTTGAAATAGCGGGTTGGCTGTGTAGATGCTAGGAAAGTTATTTTGAAATAAGGGCTGTTATTTCAAAATAACTTTGCTGGGTAGACATACCCTAAGGATGGAGATTCCACCACTGCCCTAGGCAACCCATTCCAGTGCTTCACCATTCTCAGCCTCTCATCATAAGTAATGCACTTCAGCCCCCAATCATTTTCATTGTCCTCTGCTTTACTTTTTCCAATTTATCCATGTCCTTTCTGTTGTAGGGTCTCCAAAGCCGGACACAGTACTTCAGATGTGGCTTCATTAGTGCAGAATAGATGGGAATAATCACTTCCCTAGCTCTGTTGGTAATGTTCCTATTAATGCAGTGCAATGTGTTGCTAGCCTTCTTTGCAACAAGGGCACACTGTTGACTCATATCCAGCTTCTCATCCACTGAAATCCACAGGTCCTTTTCTGCAGAACTGCTGCTGCAGCCTGTAACAGTGCATGGGATTCTTCTTTCCTAAGTGTTTGATTCTGCACTTATCCTTGTTGAACTTGATCAGATTTCTTTTTTTCCAATCCTCCAATTTGTCTAGCTCACTCTAGGCCCTATCTGTACTCTTCAGCATATCTACCTCTCCCTCCAGCTTCGTGTCAAACATGAATTTTCTGAGGATGCAGTCCATCCCATCATCCAGATAATTAGTGAAGATGTTGAACAAAACTGGCCCCAGGACCAATCACTGGGGTGCTCCACTTAATTCCAGCTGCCAATTAGACATCAAGTCTGGCAGTCTAGCCAGCTTTCTATCCATCTTATAGTCCATTCATCCAAGCAATACTTCTTTAACTTGCTGGGAAGAATCCTGTGGGAGACTGTATCAAAGGCTTTGCTAAAGTCAAGATATATCATGCCCATCACTTTCCCCATACCCACGCAGCCAGTTATCTCATTATAGAAAGCAATTAGGGTGGTCAGACATGACTTGCCCTTGGTGAATCCATTTTGAATGTTCCTGATCACCTTCCTCTCCTCCGAGTGTTTCAGAATGGATTCCTTGAGGACCTGCTCCATGGTTTTTCCAGGGATTGAGGTGAGGCTGACTGACCTATAGTTCCCTAGATTCTCCTTGGGTACTACATGTGCCTTTTCTCTATTCTAGGATCTCCCCTGAGTCACATCAGCCGACATAGCACTCTCGGATGCATTAGATCTGGCTCCATGGATTTGTGTATGTTTAGCTTTTCTAAATTGTTTTTAACCCATTCTTTCACTACTGAGGGCTATTCATCTCCTTCCATAGTGTTCTGCCCAGTACAGTAGTCTGGGAGCTGATCTTGTCTGTGAAGATTGAAGCAAAAAAAGTGTTCAGTATTTCAGGTTTTTCCACATCATCTGTTACTTGGTTGCCTTCTCCATTCAGTAAGGGTCCCACACTTTCCTTGGCCACTTACTTGTTGCTAACATATCTGTTGAAACCTTTCTTGTTATTCTTCACATCCCTTGCTAGCTGCAACTCCAGTTGCATGTTGGCCTTCCTGATTATACCCCTACATGCTTGAGGAATATTTTTATATACTTCCATAGTCATCTATCCAAGTTTCTACTTCTTGTAAGCTGCCTTTTTGTGTTTAAGCTCACTAAAGATTTCTCTGTTAAGCCCAGTTGATCGCCTGCCATATTTGCTATTCCTTCTCCACATTGGGATGGTTTGTTCCTGCACCCTCAATAAGGCTTCTCTAAAATACAGCAAGCTCTCCTGGACTCTTTCTTCCCCTTGAATTAGCCTCCCAGGGAATCCTACCTGTCAGTTCCATGAGGTAGTCAAAATCTGCTTTTTGAAGTCCAGAAAAGGTTCTGTGACTTGATAGATGTTCTGAGATTTACAATGAAATTTTGTGGGGTTTAGTGCACATGTGAACAGCCTATCTCTTTACTCTGTTTTTTGTTCTTCTCCATTCTGGCAACACATCTTGCTTTGGAGCTGTAAAGTTCTTGATTCCTTGCATTGAAATTGAAGTAATTTTTGGACTCTAATTTCCTTTACCTGGTAAAAGCCCTATATTTACTTTTTGCATTTCAGTCAGCTTAGACCAGGGTTAGGCAAGTGCCAGCTTGCTGGCTGGATCCGGTTCCCCACCGTTAGCCCCTGGCAGGCCGACATTACTATATTTACTTGCACCTCACTAAGTACAGGCAATTGCTGTACAACTGACCACAGATTGCCATTCATGGTCAATGGAAGCTGTGGGAAATGGTGTCCTGGTCTGTGCTCCCATTGGCTGGGAACAGTGATCCACGGTTAATGGGAACTACGATTGCCCCTACCTGTGGAGGTGCAGGTAAGTATTTCATCAGTGGCCTGCTGGTGGCTAACCCTGATGAACGGACATTGTTTTATTGCCCATTCCTCGCTTAGACAATGATTAGTCAGTTTCACTTTCTACTATACATTCACTGTCACAATGCTGCAATATTTACTTTGTTCCAAACCAGCTAGAGCAAATATTTAAAACTAAAGAGGTGTGGCAGCTGAATGGTTAAGGTATTTGGCCTGAAGGGTGGGAGTTTGAGTCTTGCTTGATCTTACAGTGATATGCTTCTTGCAGTTCACCCAGCTGAAAAATTTGTATCTGATCCATTGGTAAGTCAGTGGATGTTGGCTGTCATGCAGGTCACATCACTTCCTTGTGGTTCTGTTGGCTACACCTAACTGTGTGAGCCACTTGTGTCTTGAGATAGACTTTGATAAACACATTAATTTTTTTTCTAACACGAGCACTTTGTTGTTATTTTAAATTAAACCTACATTTTAGAACATCAGCTTTTGTTTTAGAGTTTTATCCGAGAGAGAAAAATGCCTCCAAAGTCATGTTTTTCTGCGAAATATACACATTTCTTCTAGGATTATGAAAGGGTAAAGATGACAGTGCTGCCACAAAACTTGATTTGTTCTGAGTAAGAATATCAGTTTTGTCTTATATTAGAACAGCTGCAACATACAATTCCTGTAAGAAAATCAAATGATTCTGTCCTTCACACAGAAAGTATTTTGTCAAGCAGTGCAGTTTTTGTAAAGAACATTTTTATTCTCTCTAGTCCCAAAATGATTCTGTGTACAACATGAGTCATTCCAAAGGGATACCAGAATTACCACCTCTGCCGACTTCAACCACAACAGAACCCTCAGAACTGTATCAGGTATGTGTCATCTTTTCTCCTATATAAAACTGTTAAGTATCGTACTAAAATGCTTGCAGTCATTGGATATTTTCAGGTTTTAAACAAATAGTGAGTTAAAGGAGCAGGCTAGGCTGCTAATCAGGTTTTTGATACTCTGGAAGCACTGTTCTTGTTTGTTTAAGTGTTGTCCTTATTTCCATTATGACTTGGACATTACATTTTGCATCTACCTGAAGTCTGTTCTGCAAGCTCATGGTCCAGCACTATTTCGCTTCAAATGTGGACTTAAATATATCCATCTTTTTCAGTTCATGGCAAGGGAAACAAAAGTAATATTTTCTTTTCCTCTAAACCAGTTTGCTTATTTTTTATAAACAGCCTGTCTGAATGAATATAAATTAATAAGGAATTAAGAGCCTGCACCCAACACAGCTGGCAGCCAGGCCCCTCTTAATCTTTTGAAGTATAGTTGTGGGAGAACAATATTGGAGGGTTGGTGCATGGTAGGAGGGAAGAAAAAATTGATATAATGGATCTTCTAAAAGTATGAGTATGGCTGTTCACCAGGAAAAGCTTTACATGTTTGTGCTTCAATTTACAGTACTAAGAATGGCTTGCATTGGAAAGATGGTACCAACAACTAAGCAGAATACAAAGGAGGATAATGTGAATTTTTTGAACCCATTTCCAGTGGGAGAATAGTTGCAGAAACACCCCTAAAATAATAGAGAAATCAAGTGAAATCTGTCTTAAATACCCGGATTCAGCAAAGGGCTCAGCAAAAGTAATTTGCTTAGCATATGTGGATCCTCATATGAGCAAAGAAAATTGTCTTGAAAACTTCTTGGAGATGTTTAAAGTGGTCTCTTAAGACACAGGGATATGCACAAGAGCTGGTCCTAAAATGAGCTTTCAATATCACATAATTGTTGTGATGTAAATAGACGAGACCATCTAATCTGACACCAGGTTCTCATTGTTCTTCCTCAGTAGCAGAAGTTCCCTCCATTACCACTTCCTGCCTGAGCAGGTCCCTTTATGTCACCATTAGCTGAGGCTGTGTTGTGAAGCCAGGGAGATGCTCCACCTAGTGGGAAAAAGAGCTAATTTAAAAGGAAAGGTCTGATGTGGAGTGGTCCTGAGCATATACAACTCCTGTTGACTATCGTGGGTGTTGCAGCTGCTCAGCGTGTTTTCAGATAAGTCCTAATATACTTTAAATTATCTCTAATTTATTTGTCTTCCCAATTACTACATAATACAAGAACCTACTTACCTAAGCTAGTTACATTGCTGAAAACCCTTCTGAAAGCTCTCAGATACCATGGTGATGGGCAAGGTATAAGAAATTGAATAAAATAGAGCCTATGAAGTTTCAAAAGTTACTTTAGGAAGTATGATTGCACTTAACAGCAGTGTGAATGCCTGTTTCCTTACTGATAAGATTAGCCATATTGATCATAAGAAAAATCCACAGCAGGAGATGTAATTGGATCTTATCATCTATTTAAATTGGCCAATTGTATTATCATTTTTTTCTAAAGCTCATGATAGACGGGATGAAAACAAGCTGCATCGATAATGGAAATGGAAGGAAGTTATTTCATGTCTTAATACTCTGCCTTTCTAGAGATCATATGGTGATGGGCCATCTGAGCAGACACATTTACCTGCAGCTCCTGAGGAAATTGAAAGAGAAGTGAGGGGATGGAAGTCAGGATGGCAAGCTATTTTAAATTATTAAAACTTGATGCTAGGAATGATGTCACACAAACAGAGGTGACAAAGCAGAGAGCTGTGTTTTTGCTGGATTATTGTATTGGGTGAGGAAAGATTAAGTAGAATGCAATGCAAGAAGAAAGTGGAATGTGCATTTAAAATGGGAGCTACAGAAACCATGATCTGAAGAGCATTCATGCTGTAAAGGCGACATATGCATTTCCTCTTTCTGATTATAAGAATATGTATGAAAGGAATCTACTACCTGACACATCCCACAGCCTTTATACACATGAGTTGTCCCGTTGAAGTTCAGACTACAGGATGTAAATTTAATAGAGGGAACAATCAATGGATACCAAATCATCTGAGAGATCATAGAATGGACAGGAGGAAATCTTTTTTGAATCTATACAGACAGAAAGAAGAGAGATGAATAAATATCATGAATTCATGCAAGCATTTAGGCATAAATATTAAAACATTTCCTCTGCTCTCAACTGAGAGCAGAAAGCTGTGGGCAGGCAGGGGGCTCAGAGAAGGGGACGGAGCAGGGCAAGAAGAGACATAGTGAGGGTGGAGCCTTAGGAGAGGGGATGGGGCAGGATCAGCAGGAGGCAGAGAGGGTGGGTTCTTGGGAAAGGAGGCAGGGAGAGGATGAGCAAGCAAGGGCACCGTTTATAGGGGGCTGGGGGCAGTACTCCCTCCCCCCCCAAGTTTGAACCTCCTGGATTTCATACTTGAGGTTTGCCTCAATCCCATGCCCTGGCTCCAGAGGCAGTTCTTAGATCCATGATGTACAACACACTAACCACTAGCTATTTGGCCAGTTGAGTGTGGCTGTTTGGCTTGAACAATGTTGCTATATTGCCGGTTGAGTGTGGCTAGTTTGCTATATACTTCAGAACTGGTTGGACACCATGGTCTTAAAGGCAACAGAACTTCAGCTGCTTGCAGCTTTGCCTTTAGCGCAGGGAGTTTGTTATAAAAAGGGTGAGGCAGGGTGATTAAGAATAAGAAAAGGCTGAGCATTCAAGCAACTGAAGAATCGTTAGATCAACATGAAAAGATTGCCAGGTACCCCACTTAAAAGATAGGGAGAAAAAAGAGTAGGAATGAGTGTTGTATTGCAGGACCACAGGCTAACTATGAGTCAACAGTGTGATACTGTTGCAAAAAAACCCAAACGTTAGCAGGATGCATTAATAGGAGTATTGTGAGCAAGACACGGGAAGTCATTCTTTCACTCTATTCTGTGCTGATTAGGCCTCAGTTGGAGTATTGTGTCCAGTTCTGGGCACCGAATGTCAAGAAAGATCTGGAAAAATTGGGGACGGTCCAGAGAAGAGCAACAAAAATGATTAAAGGCCTAAAAAACATGAGCTATATGGGAAGACTAAAAAATAGATTTGTTTAGTCTGGAAAAAAGAAGAATGAGAAGGGGACATGATAGCAACTTTCAAGTACCTAAAGAGTGTTACAAGGTGGAGGGAGAAAAATTGTTCTCTTTGACCTTTGATGATAGGGCAAGAAGCAATGGGCTTAAACTACAGCAAGGGAGGTTTAGGTTGGACATTAGGAAAAACTTCCTGTCAGGGTGATTAAACACTGGAATAAATTGCCTAGAGAAGTTGTGGAATCTCTACCACTGGAGATATTTAAGAGCAGGTTGGATTAAGAACTGTCAGGGATGATCCAGATGGTGCTTGGTCCTGCTATGAGGGCAGGGGACTGGACTTGATGACCTCTAGAGTTCCCTTCTGGTCCTAGTGTTCTATGATTCTATGATCTGTTCAATATTGGGAATCATTAGGAAAGGAATAGATAGTAAGACAAAATACCAAATTGCCTCTATATAAAGTAATTGTATGCCTTCATCTTGAATACTGTAGCTAGATCTAGTCACCCCATCTAAAAAAGATATATCAGATTTGGAAAAGGTACAAAAAAGGAAACAGAAATGATTAGGGAGTGAGGAACAGCTTCCCTATGAGGAAAGATGAACAAGACAGCCTTTAGCAGGGGTGGGCAAGGGGCTGCCATTGAGTCACATCTGGCCCGCCAAGCCATCAGATCCAGCCCGCAGCTACCTCTCTGGGACCCTTAAGTACAGTACAGCAGCAGCTGCTTTAAATGTGGCTGTTCTATTCTGGGAGCAAGGAGGGAGGCTTTGCGCTCTGTCCCATCCCTCAGCAAAGTCTCTCAGCTCCCATTTGCCAGTTTCTGACCAATAGCAGCTGAGATATTTTGCTGGTGGCAGGGACAGCCAGTGAAGACTCTTCCCTCCCCCTGTTCTCCCTGCCAGAGCAGAGCCACCTGGAGCAGCTTGTGACTGCAGCCTTTAGCTGCTGACTGGGAGCTGCCTAAGTAAGTGCATCTCAGCTAACTGCCTGCCCCAGGCCACCACCCAAACTCTCTGTAACCCTCTCAGACCCTGCACCCTCTCCTAGTGCCCCTCCCTCAGGCCAGAATCCTCTCCTGCACCCATACTCCCTCCTGGACTCTGCACCCTGAGCCTCTGCCCCAGATCACAACCCACTCCTTCACTCAAACTCCCTTTCAGACTCCACACCCACTCTTGTACCTCTGATCCTTCCCCCAAGCTTCCTTCTGCACCCAACCTCTATCCCAGACCCCAAACCTCCTTGGTAGAAATGCAACCCTTCACCACGTCCCAGAATCTTGGAGTGGCCCCCTAATATTGGGAATCATTAGGAAAGGAATAGATAGTAAGACAAAATACCAAATTGCCTCTAAAATCAGGAATGGTGTGAAAAAATAGAATAAGGAAATGTTATTCATTAACATAACACAAGAAGCTGACCCAATTACATTTATAGGCAGCAGATTTAAAACAAATAAAACAGGTGACAGGGGATAGATCATGATGTTTGCCTCTTCTGTTTATTCCTTCTGAAGCCCGTGGCATCAGCCACTGTTGGAAAACAGGATACAGGGCTAGAAGGACTATTGGTCTGACACAGTATGGCCATTCTAATGTTCTTATATAAAGCTGAAATGTATCTGCCCCTGCTGTAACCAACTAGACCCCTTCCCCCTTCCAGAGCTGAGATAGAGCCTAGGAGTGCTGACGAGGTCTCTCTCTCTCTCTCTCCACAGAATTAGTAACAACGTAAGAGTATATATTACAATTTTAAGGCTAACCAGTGTCCTTTAAGTGATTTGCCACAAGACGTTTGACTATGCTAATGTTAGAGCTGGGTGGGTCTAATATTTATTTAATTTTCTTTAATTATTTAGGAATTAGATACAGTGCTCCTGCCAGCTAACTGCTAAGTTGTCTGCCAAAAAAATAGAGTTTTTCAATGCCTTGGTAGCCCCTGGATAGAGATGATGTGTGTGTGTCTGTCGGGGGCGGGGGGATGGGGTTGGTTCCTCTCCATTTGGTGCTTGGCTTGTACTGAGCATGCTCGGTAACACTGCTGATGCCTCTATCACCAGCCTGCCCCTTTCATGTTTTCTCTCTGCCCCCCCATCATGGCATGCACAAGTCAGCTCCCCCACCAAAATCTGAAATGATGCCCCTGAAAGCAAGAGTAAGGCCTTAAGGGAATGGGGTGGAATAGGGGCAGGACATCAGTGCAAAGTGGGGTTAGAGCACGCACTGGAAAAATTTTTAAGTCACCGCCTGTGTCTCCAACTATCATTCCATTGAGCCAGATTGGCTTGTTTGCCGTATATGCTAGTCAGGCTCTGTGAAGTGACAGATTCTGTTCTTCATAAGCGGGCAGCTAGATACAGCTACATCATATCTAATCTGGCATTTCCTGGCTGTCATGACACACAACTTCTGTGTCTGATAGCTCAAAAGGACAATAGTCAGTTATTTGAGGGACACAAGCTGTAGGAGCTTTTTTTAGCTGCCAAAAGCCCTACATTATTTTTCTACAACAATCTACATTTTAGACACATTTTCAAGTTTTTCAATGAAGTTCCAATAATGACTGAAATATGTTAAGAAAACCATTCATTTTTCCAGACTGTTACCATTATACAGTCATATGGCAAATAGACTCATAGACTTTAAGGTCAGAAGGGACCATTATGATCATCTAGTCTGACCCCCTGCACCGTGCAGGCCACAGAATCTCGCCCACCCCTCTTAGAATAATCCTCTCACCTATGTCTCAGATATTGAAGCCTTCCAATACTTTGAAGGCCCCAACATGCAGAGAGTCCTTCAGCTGTGATCTGTGCCCAATGCTACAGAGGAAGGCGAAAAACCTCCAGGGCTGCCTCTGCCAATCTACCCTGGAGGAAAATTCCTTTCTGACCCCAAATATGGCGATCATCTAAACCCTGAGCATGTGGGCAAGACTCACCAGCCAGACACCCAGAAAGTTCTCTATAGTAATGAGCTGTTCATTCTAAATTGACATTGTTAGGATATAGTCTACCTCAAGGCAAAGCTGCAATAAATGTAAGAGCATCACAATACTGGTTATAAATCAAACCAATAAGGAAATACAATATGTTCTTGAAAATGAGTCATCTAGATGTATTTTTTACATGGTGTTATAAGTTCCCCCCCATGGAGTTCAAGTCTCCCCACTCTCCCGAGTTGCAGGGGTTTCTCTACGCCACCATTCGTGGTTCTGGTTTCCCAGTTCCCTCCTTCCTTTTGCTATGTTGTGGTTTTCAATATGGCCATACGCCTGCACTGCCCGGGGACTATGCCCCTAGTGCCGGGTAAGGGAGTCCGGGCCCTCCCTCTCTCCGAACCAGGGCCCTAAGGCGGGGACCTTGGTCCCTGCTCAGTGGAGGGGGCTGTGGCCCCTAAACTCCCCCACTCACGGGGTCCATGACCCTAACCTGGGCCACTTAATTCTGACCCGCAGGGGTGAGGAGTGGGACTCACCGCGGCCGTCCCCTGTCCCGGGTCTTTGTGCAGTGCGTTTTGTGCGCTAGTCTCTCCTCCTCCCTTGCTGTTTCTTCCTCTTGCCCTCTTCGCCTCCTAGCCTTCCTCTCTCCTCTTCTCCTCCTTGCCTTTTTAAACTTCCCGCCATGGCATCTGGGGTTGGCCCTCGCCTGGCGTCACCGACCCTGCCCTCTAGCTTCCTCCAGATGACGTCACGGGTGACGTCATCCGCATGCGCCCATGGCGACGGAGGGACCGCGTTCTCCACTTTGCCACCCGCACTCCCCTCAGCCGTTCCCCAGCCGGGGTTTTTCCGCGGGCCTCCGTCCCCGCTCAGTGCTCCTCTGGGCTCTCCGGCTCGGAGTTCGGGGTGGCTCTCAGTGCGGGGCAGAGTCACCCCGTCACACATGGGTTATTCTTTAAACTGGAGAAACTAGAGAAAAATATTGGTTATGATGTTTTTATTTCAGTCTTGTGTGATTTTTTACTAGTAAAATGATTCCAGAGGATAAAAATCATAACTAGTGCTGGTCTGAAAAAGGAATGTCTCCCTCGTGGGAAACTGCAATATTTCAAAATTTGTTTTCATCCTGAATCAGGACAAATTGAAATCTCAAAATATTTTGTACAATGGAGATTCTGGAATATTTTATTGTGATACATCAAAAGAATCTTCTTGAAACATTTTTTATAATACTAAAACAAATATTACAGATAATAATGAAGTAAAAGCTAATATTAAAAAAATAAAAGTTGAAATGAAATAATGAAATTGGAATGAAACAAAATGATAAAGTAGAAACAAAACTTCTCCCTTTTGAATAGTTTCAAAATGTTTCCATTGCAATTTTGCATATTCCTGCAAAATATTTTTATTTTGACAGTTACATTTTTTAATGGAAAACTATTCCATATAAAAAATTGACCAGCTTTAATTGAGTTGAGAAACTGTCTGATATGATTATTGTCTTTAAAAATAAATATTTGTTTTTAGCTTATTGCTCATTTGTGTATTGTATATGATCTTGAACATGTAAAAAATTAATAGCAAAATGAGTTAATTTCACTAAATCCACTGAAGTTGCTCCTGGGTGCAACCGACTCTCACCATTTTAAGAGAGGGGCCAAATGGCTCAATGGTTTATTCAACCACTTTAATCTCTAAGCTGGTGGTTACTACAGCTCAGCACAGTAGTTACCAAAATCTGATGATTCTTCAGTGGCCAGCATGAAATAAGTTTGTTGTTTTTCAGTGACAAAACATCCACATCACAGAAAACACCACTGGAACTGGCACTGACTAACTCTGGTTGGCTGGTTCAGCAAACTGGCCAACGATCATGTGGCTGTGTGGAGGAGTGAGTTGCCTTTGTTTTTTCCTCTCAGGAATAAGACTCACTGGCAGGGCAATGTGCTTGCAAGTGCTGCTGCGTGGGCTGCCACTTGTCTCTAACTTCATTGTTCAGGCCTGTCAATCTGCCACTTTTCATGAGAGTTATATAAATATGTAGATTTTAAAAAATAACCTTCAGTGCAAAATGTGAACTAGTGTTTATGATATAGTAGAGCCAAGAGATTTAGGCTGATATCAGGGTAAGAAATAGCACTTATTCTTTCTTGTGCTGGCTACAGGAAGACACTTCTTAGACAATCCAATGACTTAATAATATTACTATTTTTCAATTGCAGGTTGTCCTTAAGAACAGCTATTATCCTCCTTTAATGCAAAGAGTGTCATGGACTTTGGCGGTTCCATTTAAAGAACAACGTTGTTTCCGAAGCCCAAGTGATTCCATAGCTAATAACTACACACTTACTGCACGTGATCTAAAACTGAAAGATCTGCATAAAATGGTTCCCCTTGCAATGGCAAGAGCAGTCTTGGGTTCAGTGAAGCAGAGGGCAATCTCACCGCGTATCCACACTTGCATATGTTAGCGTATTATCTACTGGTTCACTTGATCTCTGCATATTTAATTAACTGTAGAAATCTGCAGTCACTGTAGTCCCTGACTGTTTTCTCCTATTAGTCTTTTTTGGTGAAATTTGGATATAAAATGGCTAGTGATTTAGCCCATACAACTAGCTCATTCTTTTATGGGGAAGATGATGAATTCCTAAACTGTATGAGTGAGTTTTGGGGATATCATTTCTAATTACTTGCCTTTTAGGAGCATTATCCCAGGCAAAATCAATATACCCACTCACTGTGTCACAGGCTCACTGTGTCATCATCACTCAGAATTAAAAGCTGTCTGGACATTTTTTTGATGAAATGGTTTTTGTCCATAAATGCTGTTTTGTCAAACCTGAAACTTTCTGTGGAAACGTTTTAATTACATTTTCACTGGTTCACTCATTTTCTTAGGTTCAGGATGAATAACCAGGCTGTTGGTGAGGTAGAAGATCTCATATTTTGTCACCAAAAAATTCTGAATGTCTTGTTTTCATTTCATTGTGGACTGAAACCAAATTTCAAAACTTCAAAATTTTTCACAGACCAGAATTCTTAAGCTAGTATATTCTGTATAAACAGTAGACTGATCCTTTTACAATATGCAGGGGCAACAAAATCCCTTCATTCACCTAAGTTCTCCTTCCTAGTGAAGAGACTTCTGTGGTACGCAAACACAAAGTCACAACAATTTAAAATCTACTTTTTATTTGGAATTTTCTTCTGAGGATTCTAGCATATCATAAACCATTACTATTATTGAGAGATTAATATTATGTAGTATGCAAACTTCCCTGTTACATATGGTATCTTCCTAAAGCTGTTTGCTTACTTCCTTTCTTTTCATCTTGGCAGATGATTGGGTATTTGACAAAAGAGCTTCAGTGTCCACTTTGTTCTCTTGGCCTTGGTCAACACTAGGGAGTTATTTTGAAATAACTTCCCTTATTTCAAAATAACAAGTGAAGCATTCACACTACCAGGCCTATTATTTTGGAATAAGGAGCTGGTTATTTAAAAATAATTACTCCTGTTTTCCACGAGGAATAATGCTTATTTCAAAATAGTTATTTTGAAATAGCAGTAGTGTGGACACTCTACTGCTGCTATTTTGAAATAACTATTCCCCAAAATCATTCAAACTCCCCAGTGCTTCCTGGGCTCTAAGTCAAGGTAGTGCGTGCACATCAAGGGAGCTTTCCTCAGACTAATTTTGAGGCTTCCCAACACACTACTTCTAAATAGTTACTTCAGGAATTGTTATTTCGAAATAATTTCCTAGTGTAGACATGCCCTTACTACGTAAGTGGGCTTTATTATGGTTCATTAAACTTCTTATCATTATTTCTTTGCCTTTTATCTTGGATTCATGTGCATCTCAAATGAATACAGGTGTGTGAAAGGGAATGCAGTCATAGTCAGGGTCTGTTTTCTTGGAGAAAATGCATTATATGGTGATTGATTATTCATGTGTCTGAAGAGTCTGTCATAACAACCTCTAGTCCACAAATTAATCATATATAGTGAAACTGATAGAACTCCATATTTTATCACAGTACCATTAGGTATTACATTGCACTACTTACATGTAAAAGTTAGAAATATAGGTCTTATTTCATTAAAGCATTCCTATTGAGAAAAACATTTAAACATTAACATCAATGGAACTTAAGTACATGCTTCAGCTTAAGCGTATATTGAATGCTTTCCTAAACCTCAGTTCAGCAAGGTACTTCAGCATGTGTTTAAGTACCTTGCTAAATCAGGAACTTAACCCTCTTTGTGCAGATTATATTTTTCTGTTATTTCACTGCCTGTTGTCATTATTTCATGTATCTTTATTACGCAATAATTTGAAATAACCTTACTACAAATAATTTTCTTGACTGATACCTATAGCTTCAAAACAATTTGCACCTTCTGAGAAGAGGCTCAAACTTACACAACTAAGTAAATGTGATACTGAGAGGTAAGGCATCATAGTTAAGACATGGAGTGTTGAAATCAGTCTCAGAGCTCTGAAGTTTATTCTGGCATGTTAACTTTTCTCTTGATTTGGATATAGTTACCGTTGCATTTGTATATCTGCACCGAGAGTGAAATTTCTGCCTGAGCAGACAGAGCCAGCAGAAAGCCCATGAGGCATTGTTTTGCTGGGCGTCTGCAGAGAGGTGAACTTAATCCCTAGAGTACATTTAATGAATTAAATGGCACATTTAATGAGTTGTGATAATTAATCATTTCTCTGGGGTGTGCATGGATAAATTATATATTCAAAGGCAGTAGCCACAAGACAGCCAGAAAAATGCTCTAACTATACTGTCAGTTTCTCAGAGGTACAGTCCTTTTGGATAGTGGGAAATCTTTTCTCCCCATTCATTTTCATGCCCAGACATTACCTGTTCCTACCTTTCTCTGACTCCTCATCTAATCTGTCAGTCTCTCATGCACTGGCCTCCAGTGGGTTCCCATTTCTCCCCATCCTTTGCCTATGTTCCCTATCCCTAGTAGCTCCCAATCACAATCTCTTTCCTTAACTCCTTGTTCCAGTGAGGGTTGCCAGGTGTTTGGTATTAACAACTCTCGGGGTCTCCTCCCTCCCCCAACAAACTTTTTCCTGGTGTGGGTTTTTTTTTTATTTCCTTCAGTATTTTTTCTGAAACCATCTGGCACCCCTAGTTCCAGTCTCTTTGAACAATCAGTTCCAGTTGTCCTCTTCATACCCCTGCTGTCAGATTCCAGTCCCAGTCTCAGTCTTTCTCTCCTGGGATTCTTGTCCCCAGTATACTTCTTCCACCTTCTCCTTCTCCTACTCCAGCTCCTCTCTCTGCATTCAGTACAGGCAGTTTCCTCCCCCAGGCTGCCTGGGTGCCAGCAAGTCTGGTGGGGCAGGGAAGGGGGCAGGGTGGTCATGGAGATAAAATGAGAGACTCCCTATTCTCAGTTCAGGTGTCTTGGATCATCATGGCCATTAGGATATAACAACTGCAATTGCAAGGAAAGTTCTACTCAGTGCCGGGCTTGAGCTTGACCAAGGGGGGATGGAAGCTTCAGGGACTTTATCCTCTAAAATCTAAGAAGTCTACTGCCCATGTGCAAACTGCAATTTTTTCAGTAGCTAAATGTAGGCAGAATTTAATGGGAACAGCAAAAGACATGTCTCTAACACAAAGGCCACCCTGTACACATTTCTCTAACACAAAGGCCACCCTGTACACATTTCAAGTCCCTGTTCCATGGAAGGGGGCACTAGAACGCTCAGTGAAAAGGTTGCCAGATTGTAACATGAGTAAAAAAGCTATTTTTCTCTAGCCTCATTCTCAGAAATAGCTGAACCATTTTGACTATAATTATCCTTAAGTTTTCAAACTGACCGCCAGTTCTGACTTACATACAGATTCAACTTAAGAACCCCAAGCTTCCCCAAGTCAGCTGCTGCTGAAACTGATCAGCGGCTGATTCCAGGAAGCCTGGGGCAGATCAACTCTGCCTCGGGCTTCCTGTAGTCAGCGCTGGTCAGTTTCAGCAGCGGCTGGCTTGGGGGTGCCTGGGGGGGAGGGGAGCGGATCCCAGGAAGCCTGGGGCAGATCAACTCTGCCTCGGGCTCCCTGTAGTCAGCGCTGGTCAGTTTCGCCAGCGGCTGACTTGGGGACGCCTGGGGCAGAGCAGCTGGGGTGCTGCCGGGTTGGTCCAGTAGCGCCCAGAGCGGCGCTGCGGGACCAACCGGCAGC